TTACATTCATCATTAACGACTGATTCTCCTCTTCTCTTTTTTTACCAAAATTGAACAGGACAGGCGAAAAACTTAACAGATCTATCATGTTTTTTCTTTTGGTTATTCTTCTGATTTGATTACCTTTAAGTGAATAATGAGATTGAGATAAAGAAAAAAAAAGATGAAAAAAGTGGACAAAAAACGGTACAAAACAATGGGTAGAACAGCAATTTCTTTTTATTTCATTCCTCTACGAAGAAATGGATAAGGGGGAGAAAGACCTAACTACTAACGTTCTTGTTCTGTACGTCAAATTACAGCTTCTGATTAACGACGGCTCTTAAACAAGAAGAACGACAACAAAAGGTATTTGCAAAAAATGTCGGTCAAGTAGCAGTCTTACCGATACATGCATTTGCATTCTCGACAGTTCCCCGTCCCCAGGGACGGTCAAAATGAAACTGTTTGCAACGTTCACATTCGGCACCAGCAGTGTTATGTTTGCAATCGCAGACATAGTTTCCCATGTTGTCAAAGATGCATCTGGAAAAAGCTCTTAGTGACATAGCATCATCGTCGACCAACAACAGTTCAAGGATTTCTCAACATTGGGGGCAGCTACCGCTGCAGTAACAGTTTAACTGCTGCTCTGATAATGGTTGTCAAAAAAATAATTTCGTGTGCTACAATGCCTTGCACTGTTCCTTTTTCCAAAATCATTTCTTAACTATTTTTAAAATTCATTACGAGGTACAGTCGCTTCTACTAACTACTGTTGAGTCATCGTTAAAAAGTAAGAAGTCAAAGATAAGACAAAAATTTTCAAAAAATTGCTAGTTCGAGTGCAACAAAAAACTCTTTTTTATATTTTAAGAAATCCCTTTTTTACAAATGCAAATAACAAAAACCAAACAAAAAATTGAAGATTTTTTTTTTTTTTTTTAAACTAGAAATCACCACTTAAATTAAGCTTAGTTGATAAATGACTAATAAAGGAATAGTTGGTCGCACCTGGATGCATGACCGTTACACTTACAACGTCCACCAACGGCCAATTCGCTTAACGAGTAAAAATACCGTTGTTTGATCTTATCCAAATCCGTTATATTAACACCATTATCATTTGTTAAGCCGTAAAGTTCAGCCTTAATAAAAAATTCCACAAAGTAGTAGCAATGTTTTAAGAAAATTTGTTAAGAACAACAAAAAAATTATTCATTACAGTAATAAAATTTATTCATTGGTGCAGAATAGGATTGAGAAACATTATACACTTATTCTTTCCGCTGTCAACGGATGAGCTGTAAAAATAGACGAAGTGTTCTTTGCTGGACATTTTAAGTGAAGGCAGGAAAGGCGAACAAAAGAGACTTTGTAAATGAGAAAATTATCGAGTAGAATTAATAACAAAAATTACTAGAATATTATTTTTTTCTTTCTTTACAAATCCCAGTATTTATGCTGATGCATGATAACTGCTTACTTGATCCGGGCTCAAACGATTGAAGACGATCTTGATGTCGGTGGCTGTGACCCAATCTTGAAGTACTGGAGAGTGTGCAAAGTCAAAAGCTGATGGACGTCCGTCGAGGGTAGCAAATGCTACACGAGTTGCCAACAGATTTGTGCCAGCTCTTGTACAAATTGCTTCCTAAAATTCTTTTGAAATTTTTTTTCAGTTAAAGATTTGGAAAAAATAATTTTAATTTTGGAACTTCTGAAGCCATGATTAAGAACAAATTTTATCTTCCAGTTAATTTCAGTTTTTTCTTCTTAACTTGTTTGTTACCTAACTAATAGAAAAAAAAGAAAAAAATAAAATAAGTATAGAAATTGTACAACGCATTGGCTGGCTATTCACCTAATCCTCAGGAAAGTAAATAAAAAGTATCCTACTAGATCTCACATATACAGTGATAACTGCCTAAAACGAAGTAAAATGAATGGCCCTAAATTCAGCTAAAAAAATGATTACAAAAAAAAAAGAACGATCTTTTTTCAGATAGTTAATGACTGTGTGATGCAGATGTATTTTTTGGAAGTGGATGTTACAGCAGTTTACCGATCATTTCGTGCAAAAATTACTAAGATTCTGTAAAAATATTGGTTATTATTACAAAAGCTCTCCACCCTTCTTCTCTCTCTCTCTCACTCCCTCCCTCTCCCCTCCTCTCCTTCTTCCTCTTCTTTTTGTAGCATTTTATTTAAGTATTTGAAATTATGTTTCGGCAAACCTCCAGCAGTTCCTTTTCTTCAAAATTATCATTGTTACCACCAGTGTGATCTGGAGAAGTCAGGCAAACTGAACTGCTAACAGTCAATTCAAAAAAAAAAAAAAAATTAAACTAGATGATTTGTTTGTGTACTACGAAGGAATTACAGTTTCAGCTTATTGACTCTACTTTTGTTTTCCTTTCAAAGCCCAGAAAAATTTTGAAGAGGGCAAGAACGAACGAATTCTGCACAGTTTCATTGGAAAAGTTTGCTATTTGTCAGTTCTTCTCTTTAAAGTGACAACAAGCGCAAAAAATAAATTCACAAAACCGTTATAATATGTTACTTGCACTAGAGGAAAGCTTAGAATGCTTTTTTCACTGAAGATTACATGATAGACTAAAGTTTTTTTTCTTTCCATTTTTCTAAAATTACTAACTTGTTCATTGCTTCTTTTAATAACTGCATTTGGCAGTTTTCCATACATTTTCCAGCACTGTGTTGAATAGTACTGGAACGGGATCCAAGTCCGTCCAAAATCCATTGATTTATAGATGACCATCGAGTCGGCGATACGGTTACAGAACTGTAGTGACACGTAGGTAATCTCAAATTTTTTACCGAGTGACAACGTCAGCGTCACGTTGTGCGGATATTCAGTGGTCGGCTGTGATACCCAACAGGTTAGGTTTTGCGAATTGTTCAGGTCAGTAAGCAGAGATGCCGGATGGGCTTGCGATCGAACGGTAGCATCGCATATATCGCACACCTCTTTGACCACTCCATTTTGATTTTCGTTTACCGAACAAAACCTTTAATTAAATCAACAAATGGCTTGTGTAAGTCAGTTTCAAACAACGACAGCAATAGCTTACAGTAATGAAGCTGAAAATGGATAAAAAAGGAGAAGAAACAATCAAAAATTTCACTGTTCAAGTGCAAGAATGGATATATATATATATATATATATATATATATATATA